AGGTTGAGAACCGCTGCCCTAGAGCTTCCCAACCTCTGTGGGTGACTTCACTCATGTGACAGACTCAAGGCCGCTGAAACTGACCATTCCTTTACCAGGTTGTCTGTGGCACAATCCAACGCTTTTACAAAGAATGAGTTAAACCTGGCCAGAGCTGAGACCAGCCACAAACAAGAATGGAGCTATGTCTACATTATCCCCTGCCAGCAACGGGCATTACTTCAGAATTGGTGATGGTTTTTTTTCCTTTTAAAATAAGTGATTTTGACCAAAGCATGCCCTCAGCTTGGAGGGGAGAGATAAGAATTTGTAAAAGAACTACCAAGGGTCAAGAAAATACACAAGTGCACAACACGTAGCCAAGAAGTGTGCAGGTCAGATAAGCACCATGGGCAGTCCTTGCTTTACATCTGAGTGGCAGACACGAGTTTTCAAAGGTCGTGCGAAGGGGAGCCATGGTGACATTGCTGAGACGCAAGGTCTCACACAAAGATCCACCTGATAGAGGGCAGAATGCAAGCTGGGGTTGGGTAAAAAGGGATGCTTGGTGTTACCGTCTGGGCTTCACTCAAAAGAGGACGCACAGATAAGTGTTCTCTGGTTCCCTTCCAAATATTGTTATGGAGAAACACTCACTCCATGCATACAGCTCCTTCAGGTCGTTTCCCCCCTCTCTTTTTAAAAAATTTCCTTAAAGTTTTTAATTTAAAATAAACATCATTAACGTACTTGAGAAATGTTCTTTTTTTAATATAAACAACTGCCTAGATCTTGCTTAAAGAGATCTGAAACCCTTTTAACATTATATGACAGCATAGAAGGCATGAACGTTTCCTATCTGTGCAGCTATATGTACATGTGTGTGAATAGGTATTATATATATATTTGTATATATCATGTCCAACATGTAACATTCCATACTTCTGATAACCAAGGTTGCATTCAAGATGATAGTTCACATCTTTGGAAAAAAGAAAATAAATTAGCTTCCATGACTTTTTCTGTCCTACAATAAAACCGAGGGTGACGAGTCTACTAAGAGTATGGGGATAAGTGGAATGTGCTGTCTTCATACTTTCCGTTTTCTTTTTTTCACACGAGTATTCATCACTTTTAAGAGAGTGATGCTTCAGATTTGGGTTTCCTTTCCAAATTTTACTTAGAGGACTAGAGAAAGAAGCTATGTAAAAGTTAACGATTGAGATAAAAGTACCCTGCCCAGAGATATGCTAGTTTAATGAAAAAAATCTTGATCCCAAATAAAAATTATAACTTACAAATAGAAAACATTTTGTTGTTGTTGTTGTCTTGTTTTTAAATAGGAAATATTCAGAGATTCCTGCTATGGTATGGTTAGCCCTTTTCTGTGCAGAAGAAAGGGTGTTTGTTTTGGAAGGGTTATGGGCAGCATATTTGAATCACCTCTCAGGGGAGAGTAAATCCTGTTGGTGATGCTGTTCCCATCACAGGGGAGGAAAGGACAGTGTGTTAGTGAAGGTGAAGACGGTGTGTAGAGACTCAAATATTGATAGTTTTGTAAACTCTAAAGAGGAAAAAGAACACCCTCTAT